TAGATAGGCAGGGCCCGCTGTCACTCGCGCAGCTGGGCGGATCTCATCTAAGTCGTGATCCGCTCCGGCTGCGGCGTCTCTGTATACCGCGAGCTGTAGCTCCCTATATACTGAGCTTAGGGTGACGGGAGGATGCTAGTTTGTGTCCTCCCGTTACCCTAAGGAGAACTATGGGGAAAAACACTGACCTCATAGTTCTCCTTTAATCATTTGGTGAGAATAAAAGTTTACATAGAGTAACTGTATTTAAATCTTTTCAATGTTTCTAAAGTTCCATTAGAATCTGACAGCATTCAACTCCAGCTTACCTGTTGAGGATCCCAGGACCCTGAGAGCCCTGGCATGCAAACTTCAGTGGTCAGCTGACCGCACCTCCTGCCATAGTGTTTGCCAGTGAAATTGCCCTTTAGGCCCCATTCACACCAGGGCGGAAGCGTTTTAGCGCAATTTTTGAAAGGGTGTTTTTAATCGCGTATCAGCGCTGAAGCGTTTCCATTGCAATCTATAATCTAATAGCTCAGGGAGCATTTTGGGCAGCAGGCAGTTCAGGTCGCGCAGCACGATTCTGCTACATGCGTTTTCTGCTCATATGTCAGCTTGTTTTCAGCTGTCCAATGAGAAGCGGGCTCAGCTGCTGTAACGCGCATAAAAAAAAAGGCGAGGAATCACGCAGAACGCTCTAATCAGCGCATTTCAATTGAAGTCTATGGAGCAAAACGAGCTGATCAGCGCAACAAAAGAAGCTCGGGGACTATTTCAAGAGACGGGCGTAATTTTACACGCGATTCCATGAACGGCCCTCATAGGAATGTATGCAATTTTTTTGTTTTCATGCGTTTCAGCGTGGAATAATCTGTGTGACGAAACCGCCCTGGTGTGAGCGGGACCTCATAGTCATAGACTGGAGGGGTAACGAAGCGGGGCCAGCCTCTGTACCAAAGGTATAAGTTGAAATTTGCAAACCAGAGTGCACTGGGTGTTTGGTATCTCCGAAATCTGTATTGGCATTCAAGCATCCTGAGGTTCCTCCTATCTCATACCAATGGCACTAGAAACTGATCTTTTTAGGCTATGGTCAGTGATTGACACGAGTTAAAGGAGAACTATGTGGGTCAGGGCTTTCCCCATAGTTCTCCTTAGGGTAACGGGAGGACACAAACTAGCGTCCTCCCGTCACCCTAGGCTCAGTATATAGGGAGCTACAGCTCGCGGTATACTGAGACGCCGCAGCTGAAGCGGATCCTGACATTTGTGCCGGGATCCGCCCAGCTCCGTGACTGACAGCTGGCTCTGCCTATCTAGAGGCAGAGCCAGCTGTACCCTCCCCCATCCGTTCCACCAGTCAGCGCTGGAGGATCGGAGCGGGGAGGGGGGAGTGAAAAGCACCCCCCTCATAGTTCTCCTTTTAAAACCCCGCAAACATATATTTCCTGAAAGCCAAGACCCTATAGAATAAAATGTTGGCAGTAGCAAATCCAGCCCCTCCCCCTGTCACGGCAGAGAGCCGTGACAGGATCGAGAGGTGAGCGAACGCCGGTATGTGTTCTCTCACCTCCCGATCTACTGAGCCGACCTGTGACAGTCTCATTGTCACAGGTCGCCCCGAACTATGAGGTGAGGGAAAAGCCCCCCCCCCCCCCTCATAGTTCTCCTTTAAGCCAATGCCCTCATTACATTATACTGTAATATCTAATGGTAGATATCTGTGAGAATATTTGCTGAGATTCATAACTGTCCTTTTTTTTCACACACATTGTATCCTAATAGAATTGGTTATACATTGAACTCTTTTATAGTTTGTACATTTAACATTTTCATCTTTTTTTTTCTCCTGAAGGTGTGAAGCCTCTCGGAGATAAATGGGACCCGACAGCCGCCGAAAAATTTCACAGCTGCGTCGCTGGAATAAAGCTGCGTGCGAAAGCCGTTTCCAGAAAGTTAAATGGCTACTTAGTCCAGTTGGCGGCGAGCGAGAGCGGTGAAGCCATCGCCGATGTTCTCCTTGCCGAGAAAGTTGCCGTTCCCGATGATGATTTTAAAAGTGATGTCTCTGCTATGGGGCCCGGCCCGGGCCTGGCAGCGCGCAAGGCGTACGAAGGCGGCAGCCCAGCCCGTTCTCACGTGGAACACAAACTGACAAAGGAGACGATCGCATCTCCTCTTTACAGTTCTCCCGCGAAGGAACCGACATGCTCATCTCATGAAGAGTCGTATTCTCATTCTGTCCAGCCCATTAACTCTACTCTGCCCGCACTTCAAGAAATCGAGGCTGCAACAAATACTCCTAACGAATCCTTTTCCCATCTCACCCCAATATCTACTGCTAGAGCGAACCATTCTGGTAATGCTGCATTATGTCTTCACAGACCGGTAGATACGGGTTACTCTACACCGTCCTTCCAAAAAGACTTTACCTCTTCCACTAAAGACGTGAGTTCTGCAAGTCCCGCAGTGCCTGCTCACAGAGAGTCGGCTTCTGGTAACATTGAAGCATCCCGATGTAGAGGGTTAGGCTCTGCTGCGTCTCCTTTACCATCGCCGAGTAGGCTGACGTTCCCCCGTGCTGCTTGTCCTCGTCTGGAGAACGGGCCCGTCTCTACTAAGGACTCGCCTCCTTCACCGGATAAGTTGAAGTCTACACTGGTTGGCTATTCTCGGTTCACTTCTGCATGTTATCCTCCTCGTGCCGGACCGCCATGTAACGGATCTAACCGACCAGCCCAAAGGGAACTGCCTACCGCCGACTCAACCCGGAGAGATTTACAACCATCTGAATGTCCAGCTGCCAGCCAACCAGCACCCTCTGTATGTGAGGATCTGCCAACTCCTGCTACTTCAAAGCAGCCGTCTTCAGTCGTCCTGGAGGCCAGAGGTGAGTCTGTGCACATGTGTAAGATTGTGTTTGAAATCCGTGTTTATTCCATGTGCACTGGGTGGCCGGATTATTATGACCCCCCCATCAGTACTTCGTTGGGCCGCCTGGTGACTCCACGAGATGATGAAAGGTGATGCGAGGAATCTGACACGGCACTGTTACCCTTCTGTTGTCTTGCACCAGTCTTGCCCCTCCCCCGTTCTGCCCTAACATTGACTAGTCGCTGACGGCCACAATTCGCACGCTCAGACCCAGATTTTCGGCTGACAGTCCGGTCTTTAAACACTTTAACAACAGCCGCTCATGAACATGTAACGAATTCTGCTGTTTTGCTGATACTCGCTCCATGGCTCCGAGCGCCAACAATCATCCCGCGTTCAAAGGCTGTTAAATCGTCGTGGTAACCAACCCACTTCCCTATTTATAATGGTCTGGCCCTCTAGCAACTTCAGCGCCAAATTATAGCTAATTAGCCTACAAACGTCAGGTGGTCATAATAATCCGGCCACTCGGTGTATATAATAATCCGGCCACTCAGTGTATATAATAATCCGGCCACTCGATGTATATAATAATCCGGCCACTCAGTGTATATAATAATCCGGCCACTCGGTGTATATAATAATCCGGCCACTCAGTGTATATAATAATCCGGCCACTCGGTGTATATTACACTGTGTAGTATAATGTACCCCAATGTCTGGTACTCTGTAAATGTATATACTATTATTGCTGTTATGATTATTAGTACAGGTATTTATACAGTGCCAACAGTTTACTGTCAGGTTCTGCACTCAAGAAGCTTACAACCTAAGGTTCCTATATTACATACATACATACATGCATGCATACACTCACACACATGCCAGGGCCAATTTACACGGGAGACTACTAACCTAGCAGCATGTCATTGGAAAGTGGGAGAAAACCCCGGTAAGCACACACAAGGAGAACATGCAAACTGACCGGATTAGAGCTGAGGACCCCAGTGCTACAAAGCAGTAGTGTTACCCACCGCTTCCACCCATTTACATGAATTGACGGTTCCCCAGGCGTGCTATTTCGGACTTCTCTTGTTCTATTTTGGCTTGGTGAATGTTCCATTGAAAGCATTTTCTTATATCTGCTTGTTAAGTTAAATAAAAAAATCCTGCCAGAAATCTTTTGCGCGGATAGCTTCCTGTGCTGTCTGCCTGTGTTGCGCTCTGATCAGTTAGTCGTAAGGTCACTCTTTTGGTCTAGAGAGCACATTCTGTGTTAAGGAGATGTTCTGTAGCCCAGTCTTAGGGTGACAACCCTCACATTGTATCCATGGAGGAGCAGCGTTGTGACCCTAAGACAGAAAGTGTGTTACTGGCAGCAGTGGTGCCATTGGAGGGGTGACACCAAAATGACAGTCATTTTGGGGTCACCCCTTATGAAATGTCGGTCACGGACCGAGAGCGTCAGGAGAGAGGAGGGGACCCGACGGCATACCTCATCCCACCGGGTGAACGTCCCCTCCTCTCTCTGCCGGCGTCCATCACAAAGGTGGCTGGCGTAAAAACAAAACACTGCGCATGCGCAAAGACGTCACGGCGGGGTGTCACCCGGTCCCCGCCCCCAGGGGACACCCACCCTCGGGACGGCACTGACTGGCAGGATCACCAGGTGAAAATATAGGTAGCCCCAATGCAAGGGTTAATGTTGAAAAAAAAATCCTGGACTTCAACTTTTAAATATATTTAATCTAAAGGAATCATTTACATGGTAACCCCCCACTATCCTAAATGGAGCCGTATAGCTGTTTGGATTGGCGGTGGAAGCGAGACATACAGACACCTTATGTTCTTCTCTACATAGCAGACCAGTAATCGAATGCTTCACTGAGGTTTAAAGGAGAACTATGGGGTCAGGGCTTTTCCCCATAGTTCTCCTTAGGGTAACGGGAGGACACAAACTAGCGTCCTCCCGTCACCCTAGGCTCAGTATATAGGGAGCCACAGCTCGCGGTATACTGAGACGCCGCACCTGGAGCGGATCCCGACAATTGTGCCGGGATCCGCCCAACTGCGTGAGTGACAGCTGGCTCTGCCTATCTAGAGGCAGAGCCAGCTGTACCCTCCCCCGTCCGTTCCGCCAGTCAACGCTGGCGTTGTTTTTGGATTCCTGATCTTCAGAAATCTTTCCCTGGATTGTTCATGAATGTTTTTTTCATCCCGTCTTCCTGATTATGAAGTAGTAATCTTTCTTGCTTGGTGATCGGTTTGGTATTCGCATCCCTAAACACCCGACTTATGTCTCTAGGCGTCAGTATGGCGCAGAGCTGGACGTCTGTCGATTTGCCTCCAAATGAGCCGCTTGCAGCATGTGTGCTAAGAGTGAGAAGTCCGGACTTGATGTACGTTTTCCCAAAAGACAACAGAGGTGAGAAAACTGACTGAGAACTTCTTCTGTAACTTTTTTATATAAATGTTTATTATGTGCTATGTCCCATGCTGACATATATGTCCAACATCACTCACAGCTTTACATAGGATATAAAACCATTTACTTTTATCCTCTACCACAAAACAGACTATTATTATTAGGGATGCACCGATATATCCGCCGAAAATGCCACTTTTGGCTAAAGGCCGAAAGTGCCATTTTCCTGCCGATCGGCGCATCCCAGGTTTCTTTCCTCCCCGCTGGGCGCTGCTCTGTGTCCCAGCGGGGAGGAGAGAAAGTGTGACAGCCGGACCGAGCGCTGCGGGAGGAGAGCGATGTGAGCGGCCGGCATCTCTCCTCCCACACCGGAGAAAGCCCGCGCTGTCACAGGAGGCGGAGCTCTCCTCCCCGCACCGCTCTCGCTCAGCCTCCTGTGACATCGTGTCAGAGAGGAGAGAGAGCGCAAACACTCAGTGATGAGTGAGTGTCTGTACATAATTGAGGACATGCTATGTGTACTATATCTTCAATTATGAATGAATAGGAAGTCATGTACATCACTTCCTGTTCATTCACGATTGTGGTTATAGTAAACACACTCTGTCCTCATGTTATGAATGATCAGGAACACTCCTAGAGTATTCCTGTTCATTGATAACGGGGGATACAGAAAAAGAGATTTGAGGACTAAACGTAAAGTAAAAGATAAAAATATTTCATAAAAAATGAATTAATAAATAAAACATTTGAAAAAATTTAAATAAAAACATTTTCGGTTTCGGCCTGACATTCTTTTTATTTTTGGTTTTTAGTTTCGTTTTTTAAATTTCTATTTCGGTGCACCTCTAATTATTATTCCCATACAGGATTTGTATAGTGCCAGCAGTATGTGCAGTGCTTTACAATATAAAGGGAGACATTACAGTGTCTTGATTTGTGTGAGCTTACAATCTAAAAGTCTTATTGTCCGTCCCATTAATCCATGAATGGTGTACTTGATTATCCTGTGGAGGGGAGTTCCACTCATTGGGTATTAAAGCTCAACTCCGGGCACCACGTTTGATTTCCTTTCTTTATTTCTCATTAAAAAAAAAAGAGATTTGAGGTACATTGAACAATTGTTTTCAGAATAATGTATCGCATAACATAAAAGGGGGTGAATGTGATAGTCCCGGACTCCCGCCAGTTCGTTTCATGAATACCTGTTGACCTGAAAAGTGAATCGGCATCTTTCCTGCATAATAATAACATTCTAGGATGGGTTAGAATCTAAGGTTCTCAACCTTTCTAGGGCTGGGACCCCTTGGTAACATTTGCCAAGTTGTGTTGACCCCCCAACGGTAAAATTTAGGGATGACGGGGCTGCTGCAGCGACATCTGGCGGGAGAACTGACACTGCTGCGCTAGGAGAGGGCTGAGGAGGACTGTCACCTAGCACAGCAGAAATCACACAGCGACCCCCCAGCTAGAGAACCGCTGGAGTACGCCGTCAGAATAAAAAAAAAACACCCTAGGAATGCATAGCTAGATTTCTATTGGCTATTTCACTTTGCAATAGCCAATAGCAAACTAGCTATCGCACCCGCCCTCTGCTGCTGCCAATCAGTAGTGGGGACCTGATGGAGAACTTCAGGTCCCCCTCTGCTGATTGGCAGCAGCAGAGGGCGGTTGCAATAGCTAGTTTGCTATTGCAAAGTGAAAAAGCCAATAGGAATCTAGCTATGCATTCCTAGGGCGTTTTTTTTTTTTTTTTTCTGACTTACGGCCCCCGATGTCAGACAAAAAAAAAAAAACGATCGCGGGGAAAGGTTTACTCTGCTCGGGAGAAAGTGTTTCGCTCCCAGGCGGCCGGGAGACGCTATCTAATAGCAGGAGACTCCCTGGCGACCCCCTGGCACAATCGTCATTCGACCCCCCCGAAAGGGTCGCGACCCACATGTTGAGAACCGATGGGTTAGATGGTCAAGGTTGTTCCTTCTTGGTCGTTGTCATGCTATATTTGTCCACAGAGGCCATGTGGCCTTCTTAGGAGTGCACAGGAAGGGAAGTGGTCTGGAGGGTGTAGGGAAGATGTCTGGGGGGTCAAGGGAACGTCCCGGGGATGTTTAGAGAAGGGTGTAGTAGGGGGAACTTCATAGAAAGCAATGAAGGGGAAAGGGGTGAACTGGGTATGAGAAGGGAGGTTGGGT